GACGCAAATCTGCTACCATTAAAACCCACCGTATGAAAACCTGCCATAAAATTAAAAGCAATTGGTATCCTATCCACTTCTTTGTTTTATTCACCGGGCTGATTTTTTTTATTCCTGCTTTGGGCAACAGGGATTTTAATTCCGATACCTTCAGCATAGGGCACTCAGATTTTCCCCACAAAAACGCGGCTGCTGACACCATTGCTATACATCGTAGCGGCAATCACCACCGCCTCCCCAGTCCCCGTATACGCAAACACACTGCCCTGCGCTCCGGAAAAAACATTAAAAATATCGGTTCCATAAAACGTTACAAGAAGCTCCATATCCATAGAAAGAAACATCTGGTAGCTGCAGGTCGTCTGCAAAACAGGCAATTATTCTCCCTGCTGGGCAATGCCGTGCAAATGAAGGAGCTGCATTTCAGGTTAAACGCATTGGCACCTGCAGCGACGGACTGGCAAGCTGGGCTCGATTCAGTGTTGCAGCCCTATATTGATGGCACCGAAGCATACGATAGTATACTGGTCGTAGGTTATACCGACAATACCGGCAGTAAAAAAACCAATCTTACATTGAGTGCGCTAAGGGCAGCAAAGATCAAGGCCCACCTGGTGCAGCAAGGTATCCCGGAACACCAGATTCATATTGTTGCCATGGGTGAAGCTGCGCCGGTCAGCAGTAACGGGAGTATGGAAGGGAGGAATCTCAACCGCCGTGTAGAAATCAATTTTCTGAAAGGCAGTTGATGCTGAAGCATTTTACAGACTATCAAAAGGACCGCAGCGATCAATGAATTTTTAAAAAACTGGATATAGGATAGCAGCCGGATGAAAAATAATCTCGCAGGCGGCGCTCTGTTACTGTCTGCTGTAGGGTGCAAGCGCTATCAAATTTCCGCGCGTTTTTTTCCCTGCGTTGAATGCACCGCCATCCGTAACGACATACAGTATATCCCGGTCCTTGCCGGTCTTTCCGAAAACAGCATCGGTGGCACCAGTAATGTTTTGCGCCTGCTCTGCAATGATCGTGCGCGCACCGCCTGGTGAAACCCGCACCACTGTATTGTAAGGATGCGTGGTAATGAAAAGGGAGCCATCTTTACCCATCGCGAAGTCGTCACCAGGAATCCCGCGCGTGATGACTGCGCCCGTGCCGAAATGCCCCTGATCGTCCAGGCTATACCGGAGGACGGTCGTACGATCCGAAACAGTTACCAGTAGATCCCGGTTGTTGAAGTGAAGGCCATTGGCTCCCGGTGCGAGCGCAATGAAAGGCCGGGCCAAAAGAGCAGGGTCCCGCAACGCTTCTTCTATATGTCCGGTTTTAGTAGCTACCCGCCAAATGACACCCAGGAAGCTATCCGCTGAATACAGCATACCGTCAGGCCCCATTGCCAATCCATTGGGCCAGGCAGCTTTAGGTAATTTAACCCTTTCCATGACTTTACCCATGCTATCCAGGTGCCAAATAAATGAGCTGTCGCCATGACTGGTCAGATAAATCGTGTTGTCAGCTGCTACTACAGGTACGCCAGCGCTAAGCCCCCCCGGCGTCCTGAAGATGACGTGCTCGCTGCCGTCTGGCTTCCTTGCAATCAGTTCACCCTTCGCGTCGTGATAGTAATCGGTCCTGGAAAAATCCAGGCCGCGGTTACCCGAAAGATAAAGTGTTCCATCGTCTCCCGCAGCAATCCCTTCGAACCAGCAGCCTTCATCATACGTCTTGATGACACGCGAAAGGACAGGGTTAAAACGTAGGTCATCAGCTTTGGGAAGTGCAAGCACTTTTAGTCCCAGGGGCTGTGCGATGGCGACTATACACGGTGCAATGAGCAGAATAGCTGGCAGCGTCCACGCACGCGGTGTTTTCAATGTAAGCGCAGCCAATAAGGGCGGGATTGAAGAAACAAAGGCGATGCAGGACGCAAAGAAAGCCAGAAAGGGGACCATGATGCCTGCAAGCGTAGCTACAAAGACGAGCCAGTGGCCGGCGGCCTGCGCGATTCGACCGAACCCCCATTTTTGGTAGCGGGAGACCAGGGGTTTCAGCGAAGCAGGACCAAAACTGACAATCATTGCAGCAAACAGTGAGCAAAGGCTGATGAGGCACTGCATTGTCATAATTATAATATTCATGCCTGCACCCTCCTGATCATTTTTGTGGTTACAGGATTATTTTTGTTATCTCCGGTTGCCGGCAAAGAGGATGTTGCAGGGGCTTTTGATGAAAAATTATGCATGCTGTTTAATTATTTTTTCCGAAGGTAGCAGCAGGCCCAGGCGAATTTCTTAACAAAAGATAAGAATTCATTTTATGCGCAGTAATGAAAATCTACTCAATGGTTTTTAACGGTTGAACGGGTTGATGCCAGCATTCGCTTTCTGATACGTGAAAGCGACACTGGGGTAATACCGATAAATTGCGCAATGTATTGCACCGGAATACGGTTTATGATGTCATTGCCGGATGCAAGAAGATCGCGGTACCTTTGCTCGGGCGTTTTCACGATAAACGATTTTAACCGGTCCTCGAAAAGTATATTAAACCTTTCCGATATTAACCGCCCGAATCGCTCTATTTTACACGATAACAATGGGTGGCCTGACATGGCCAGCATATTTTCCCGGGAAATGGTGACAAAAACTGTTTCTTCGAGTGTCCGGATATCATAAAGACAGGGTTCAGCTGTGAGGTAGCTTTTTAAAGCAGTTACAAAGTCGTTTTCAAAACAAAAATATCCCGTAACATCCTTTCCATCCACGTTGTTACAAAACCGCACCGCCCCCCTGATGATAAAGCCCAAATCTTTGCAGGTTTTACCGGCCTCCGCAAAAGATTCATTTTTTTTAAGCTTTTTGATTTTTAAAAACTCCGTAAAAACCTCCCATTGCTCATCATCCAAAGACACTAATTTTTTAATATTTTCCCGGTATTGGTTCAAAACGGTGTAATTGTCCATTGCCTCATATTTTAGCAGGTCTGAAAAGATTGCTGGTTCTCCCGATAATAAAATGAATGATCTTTTTGCAATTTAACGTGTAATGTTTTGTAAACAATGCTGCAAACTAGGCGATGCATTATTTGTCACACAATATTTTTTGCGGTGCCGTGCTACTTTTATCTTTACTCCACACTATCCAGGAACACGATCAACAATTTGGTCAAATCCGGTCATAAAAGCTGAACAGTAATTGCGCTGGATGTAATTACATTCATATCCAATCTGCTCTTCTTAAAAAAATTGAAAATGATTATTTAAAGTTGTAAAAGCGGACAGCGGCTGTCCGTTTTCGAACAAATGCGCTGATTGAAAAAACTGAAAACGCTGATGCTGAATGAATTCTTTTATTGGTATAAAGGTTGGCGGTTATTGGTATGTATTATTTGCAGCAGCATTGAGCCGGTATAGGGTAATAATTTGTTTAACAAAAAATGCTGTAAACCTGCGATTTTGCCAACAGACTAACCAATCATATGCTACTGACTTACCTGAAAATTGCGTACCGCAATTTGTACAAAACGAAGCTATACAGTTTTATTAATCTTACGGGATTGACCATTGCTATTGTATGTTGCCTGCTGATAGCGTTGTTTGTACAGCGGGAGACCAGTTATGACAGTTTCCATAAAAATGCTTCCCGGATTGTGCTGCTGCAGCAATTTGAAAATTCAGGTGTCAGTGGTGGCAAACTTGCGGGCGATATGCGGCAACTTTTTTCACAGGTAGAAAATACAGTGCGGCTGAGAAATACCCGACCCCTGGTCAAGTTCCGGGAAACAGGCTATTATGAACGAAATTTTTATTTTGCAGACAGTACTGTATTCAGTGTGTTTAGTTTCCCATTGTCGGCCGGCGACCCGAAGAATGCATTAAAAGAGAAATATGGGGTAGTCATCAGTGAGGCAATGGCCCAAAAATATTTCCAGGGCAGAAACGCATTGGGGCAGGAACTGATGTACAATAATGCGTTTAAACTGCATGTGACAGGCATTTTAAAAAAAATCCCAGGCAATTCACACCTCAATATTGATTTTCTTACCGGTTATACCAGCGCAAATGAAATGGCCGGTATGGACGTCAGCAATAATTACTGGGGTGGTGATACATGGACTTATTTATTACTATCCAACAATGCAGACCTGCCTGCAATGGAACGGCAAATTCCAGGCTACCTGCGCAAACTCAATGACCCGAATGCATCAGCGGTATGGAAACTGCGTTTTCTGCCACTGAAGGATATTTACTTAAAATCCTCGCTTATTGCTACCAGCCCGATTACTTATGTTTATGTCTTTATCCTGATTGGACTGTTTATACTCGCATTGGCCTGTTTCAATTATATCAATCTTTCTACTGCCCGGGCTTCCACAAGGGCGAAGGAAGTGGGTGTCCGTAAAGTAATGGGGTCATCAGCCGGCAAACTGCGCTGGCAGTTCATTCTGGAAACCGCAGTATTTGTAACAGGTGCAGTTATCATCGCGCTGCTGCTGTTAAAACTGGGCCTGCCAGCTTTTAATCAACTGGCTGCAGAAAATCTTTCATTGAAGTCTTTACTGAACCCGGGGAGTATTGTATCGATAATCGCCGGTCTTGTACTCATCAGCATTATGTCGGGCAGTTATCCTGCTTTTATCCTGTCATCTTTCCGGCCTTCAAAGGTATTAAAAGGTGACAGCACGCCGGGACAGGGCAGGAACTATTTAAGAAAAACCCTGGTGGTAGTACAGTTCACTGTATCGACGGTCATGATTGCTGCCACTATCATTGTATACCAGCAATTGCATTTTATCAGGACCAGGGATCTTGGTTACCAGCGTGAACAAATATTAACCGTTGACCTGCGGGATGCGCCTGCCAACAGCAAGGAGCAGTTTACCAGGGAAGTCGGCAAACTTTCATTGATAAAAGCGGTATCAAGGGCCTACAGTTTGCCGGGCAGTGGTATACTGCAGGGCATGAAACTGGTCAGTGAGTATGTTCCCAAAGGCAGTAAGGACGCGGGTATCCGCCGGCTTACGCTCGATGATGGCTACCTGAAAACGTTCGGTATCGGGCTGGCAGAAGGCAGGATGCTCAATGCAGCCAACCCTTCAGATAAGAGCGCATTCATGATCAATGAGGCTGCCAAAAAATATTTTCAGTGGAAGGATATCAATGGTAAAATGACAGGGTATTATACTTTCCAGTACAAACCCGATGGCAGTTATGAAGAAGTTCCGGTAAGGGGCCCGGTAGTGGGCGTTATCAAAGATTACAATCATGCTGATTTGAGCTCCGTTGTTGAGCCCATGATTATTTCCCTCAACGAAGGCTACGAAAGCCAGACAGCCATCAGGATTGTTCCCGGCAGCGCTGAAAAGGCCGTGCAAAAGGTAAAACAATTATGGCGGGTATTTTTTCCCAACATGCCATTTGACTATGGTTTTCTGGACAATAGTTTTGAAAATACCTACCGGTCAGATAAAAAACTTGCTTCGCTTTTCAGTCTTTTTGCAAGCCTTGCCATCCTGATTTCCTGCCTGGGTGTATTGGGTTTGATGACCCATCTTGCAGATGTACGCAGAAAAGAAATTGGCATCCGCAAAGTGCTGGGTGCCTCCGTCAGCTCTATTGTAAGGATATTGGCAAAAGAATTCACACTATTGGTCATCACAGGATGGGTCATTGCTTTTCCGATTGCCTGGTGGATGATGAATAAATGGCTGGAGCATTTTGCATTCAGGATCAACCTGGCAGCGTGGGTCTTTCTGCTGGCGGGTGCACTTGCGCTGCTGGTAGCAATGACGACGATATGCATACAGGCATTTTCGGCTGCAAGGGCCAACCCGGTAAAAAATCTAAGAACGGAATAATAGTGAACTGGTATCATAGTTACCGTTTATCCCTGCAGCCTTCTTTTAAAAGCTGGCATTGATTTGTACTTACTGAATTGTTTTGAGCCGGGAAACCAGGTCCAGGAAATATTGTGCTGACCAGATATCCAGCAGTTTTGGATCATGGATAAAGGGAAGGATGTCTTCTTTAATAGCAGTAAATGAAACCGCTTTTATTTTTTTCTCCAGCAGTTCCATTAATTGCGCACGAGAGATCCGGTTGGCGGCCAGGTCGCCGCTGTCCTTTGCCCTTTGTGCAAAATGTACGAGGTGCAGGGCGGTGCCGCGCCGTATATACCATTCCAGGTCGAACCAGTCCCGGCCCTTGACACGGTTTTTCCATTGGCGGAACAGCAGGGCATGCATTTTACCTGGAAACTGT